TTTGATCCTAAAATCTGGTAACCTACAATTTGTTCCTAAACGCTATATACATGATTTACCCTAAGTAACTAGTAAGTAGCTCATTCTACATCGTTTGCGTGCTTAACTAAAATAATAATTGAATCCCTAAATGCTAAATCTAGCCAAATCTTTGTTGAAAGAGTGACGGAAGATAACTCTCGGTTTGAAAATCTCCCGCTCAACCTCCTATCGCTTTTCATGGAGGAATTTCTCTTGCTCCAGCGCTTTCTTATTTGCGCTTTTCTCCTGCAGCAACTGGTCTAGGGATTCTTCCAGGCTGACCTCATTGGTACTTCCTTTTCCAGATTCGGTTGCGGCATCACTCCTCGCTCTATTATTTCTGCTAGGTGGTTTCTTTGGGACAGACTTCTTGGTTCCTTTTGCCACCTTCAGCATATTTGTGCACTTAGAGCACGTCTACGGAACCTCCTTTACAGCTGTGGTCTTACCAGCACAACTATAATGGGTCCAGAAATCGCAGACATCACACTGGACCATATCATCTACGTGGTCGTGGCCTTCACAAAGCGTACAGTTTCTATCGCTGTTCTGTTCTTCACTCAACGGTGGTGTTGATCCCTCTGACATTTTGAGGTTATATCCGATGTTGTTCTTCAAGAATGTTCGGATTAATGAAAGCAACTTCCTCAGAGCAGTCTCGTTTTGGACAGCTTGAAGCTGAAAAAGGTTTTATTATAAGCATTAAGATTGGTTTTGATTTTATATTATTTTAATAAAACCTATTTCAGCTTCAAGCTGTCTAAAACGAGACTGCTCTGAGGAAGTTGCTTTCATTAATACAAACATGGCTATATTTTTAAGTGCGCAAACATGATTTTCTATGGATCACTTTCTTTAGTTTAAGGTTCACTGCTGAATGTATTATGGATCAATTGCAATATGTTTATGGGTAATTCGTACAATTTCAATGCTCATTCCTTAGAAATTTAGCGGTACATTTTTACAATTGTGTTGCTAAATTTTACATTAAATATGGATCATATTGATATTTTTTATGGATCATTCACACTTTTTTAAGAATTTTCTCCGAAGTTTTATTGATCATTTGGATGTTTTTTTATGGAACGTTTTCCAATATTTTATGGATCATTTATTGGTATTTATGTTCAAAAATATGTTTGCCGTTTCTGACCTTAAGCGTGTACCGGGTTCCTTGCGCTTCAGTCGAAGCTCCTTCAATAGGTCCATTAGCAGAACTCTCAACTGACTTCCCCACAATGAAGGGATCCGGCAGAGGGGTATTCTCGTCCTTACTTGTCAACTGCAGGTACGTCAACGCTCCAAATTCACTCGACGATATGGCTCCTAAACCTGGCCATTGGTGTCTTGACCCTCCCGGGTCGCCGCTACTAGCGGCCGTCATAGTCACTCTACCCTACCCTACCACTTTCTCGCTAGTTAGGCACCGCAAACGTTGGAAATGTTCGAAAAAGTAACAACGGTCACCCGTTGTTTACCCCAGAGACGGTAAAATAGAAAAAGAAAACAAAGAACTTTCCTACCTTACGCTCCTTCAACGTGCATCAACAACCTCACTTCGCCCTTCGACAAAAAACTTTTCACCGAAAACTGAAGAAAAAAATCAGTTTGTTCGGTCTTTCACACCTCCTGCTACTCGGGTCACCACACTACTATCTTCGACCGGCCAGCAGAGAGTGCTTCAATGGGCCCACCACACAGCAGCCAGTAGGCAAGTAAAATACACCGATAGCACTGCAAGAACGCGGCCGTTAGTAGCACAACACAGTAAAGGCGACCGGCACGGCAAGAATCTTTTCACTGACCACTGTACACAGCAGCAGTACAATAGCACCGGTACACTATAGGGCCGCCACGCGGTATAACACCGTATGATGGCAGGCTGTTCTTTGCCGTTGCCACGGAGTAGAGACACTTTATTCGCACTTTATTCCCGCTATTTTCCACCGATCAAGGTCGGGTTTTCACGTAGATTATAGGTTTTCACTAGCCACAAAGCGACGGATGGCTTTTGGGAGAGAAAACACCGCGAAAAACCACCAAATAACGTCAAAATCCCGAGCGCGTAAACTATTGCTACTGCAGGCAACAATGTCCCGAACTCGAATAACGCCAACTCGTCAGACTCGGACCAATGCCGCAACAATCGAATTGTGGTGGAGCAGATCACATCCAATCCAGACAAAATCAACTTTTGCTGATCCGTTTGCTTCTTCGTATGTGCATCGTATATCGCCTTGAGTACCACCCGGCTCACCCTTAGCAACAGCTCCGTGTGCCCAATGGTGATAGCCTTTCCGAAAGTGGTATTGGTATTCGCGTGTAAAGGGCCTTAGAAAGTTTATTTACAAATGCTTTTGTGCCGTTATCAAATGTTATGCCTGAGTTGATTTTGTTTAGAAGGATTATGTGTAATAAATTTTACTTTTTCAGGATAAACGACACAATATTAGAGCAATGCGCTTGCTTGCTGGAAGATTGCCATTGGGCACACAGAGCTGTTGCTAAGGGTGAGCCGGGATGATGTTGTTGGTTTACGTGGGCGTACTTTGGTTCGCGTGTAAAGCGCCTTGGAAAGTTTGTTTACAAATGCTTTTGTGCCGTTATCAAATGTTATGCCTGAACTAAACTTACCACCTTCCCACTGAATTTCACCGCCAAATTATAAATTCTAAGCACAAAGCGGTATAGAATACCATCCACCGCCTCGCGACACACTCCAATCAGGTACCTCAGTGTTTCCAGCAATGCCTGCAAATGCAGTAAGTCCTCCTTCCTATCACCATCCTCCGACTCTCAGCCCAGCAGACCTTCAACAGTTTCACTACGGAGGAGCGAATGCATACCGAGTATGGCCGGGTTCTGTCGATGTCTTCTCGGTCGCGGTTGACTCTGACTTTGGTTAGAAGCACGGACTGAAGAAAGCTGTAGCAACAATGGCAACAAGCGCGAGTCATTGACAGCTCAACATCGTTTACTTCTAAGCAAATGTTAAACCGATGTGTTCACCCCTAATCATTTTGGCCTATGATCTTTTATTATACAAAAGAAAATCAGATAACAACTAAACGTCATAATGACATTGACAACACGCTCTCCCTTTCAGTTTTCGTTAGAGAAAAAGAGATAACATACGGTACTTCCTACTCTAAGAGGAAAAGGTGACAATTGGCTTCTTCCTCTTTTATTTCTATCTCTATCTCTATCTTTATCTGTCTCTATCTCTATCTTACGCACATGAAATCGGCCAATCAGGAGCTGGTTCACGTTTGACAGAAAAATAGTTCATTTTCACCCCCGTATTGTCACCTCTTCTCTTAGTTCCTACTTTAAGCTAGTACATATGAGTAGATAGTGTTGCCGTGAGGTACACTCAAAAATTTCAAATTAAGTGCCTCAAATCAAATTTCGAGCCGCTCCGTCTGTCACTTCGTTTGTGCTTTTAGCATCTTTACAATTCAGTGCTAACATTTGAAAACGGCACAAAAGCCATTTGTAAACAAATGGTTTGTGGGCCCTTTACTCACTACTTGAAGTACACCCACGCGACACAACAGCAACATCGGGTAGGGGAAATTTTCCCCTTCCTGACGATGCTGTTGGTTTGCGTGGGCGTTCTTCGGGTAGCGAGTAAAGGGCCCACAAACCATTTGTTTACAAATGGCTTTTGCGCCGTTTTCAAATGTTAGCACTGAATTATTCATGAAATGGTAACGATCGCTATCGATTTTTCTTATGAATGGCTTTGAAGATCGATGTATAGAAAATTAAAGAAAATTAACGAAATGGTTGGTCGGGATAGATAAGCGGAAGCACAAAAAGTTGTTTTGGCAACCATGAAAAATAAATGATCTTACTGGCATCCGTGAAAAAAGTTTATGCCATCATAGAGCTCTTCGTTGTGCAGTTTTGTTTTGTTTCGTGCGTAAAAATTCAAAATGAAGTGCAAAGCAAATCTTTGCAACAATGTATCGAGGAATGGTTTGTGATGGGGCTTACCCGTTCCTTTTCGAAGGATTTTCCACCGTCGTAAAATATCGACGGCCCAGAAGATTCTGTTGCGATGATTCACTGATTCTTCCACCTTGCTCGGACACTTTGTCACACAAATTGCTCCTGATGCACTTTTGCACTATGCACACAACGCGCGATTCGGAGATTGCTTTATGCTGCTTGACCACTTAAACTAATAGTCGTCACAGGAACACTTTCGGATCACTCAAGGAAAATGTTAATCAATTGCACTACTGGACTGGGTTTACTTTTCTCTTTATTCTACGACCGGACTACAGCAAAAAACGGGATGTATCGCTTCCGACGGTATATTTTGTACTATCCTATATTTACAATTTGTTTTATCTCCTATCTATGTACAAATGGCAAAATGACCACTACAAGTGGACGCTATTGTGTGGTGCGCATGCGCGCAGCATCCTACTCATTTCTCTCTTCATCTCTGGCTTAGGATTAGGGTTACTGATACATGATTTTAGAGCACTTTCAATTTATAGGATTAAGTTTTAACTATAAGTTTAGCTGTAGGATTTAGTTAGTTCATTTAGGTTAAGTAGATTTCAGTTCATTTAGGATTAATTTAGTTTAAGTTTAGTTCAACATCCATCATTCCGGCCACCTTGAACTAACTAGGTTGGTTCAACACTATTTACAAATTCAAAAATAATTTCTCTCCTGCTCTCGGAATTACAGCTCAACGAATCGTTTCGCTTCGGCTTGGACAGCGAAATTTGGACGACGTGAGTGGTCGGTAACGTTCAGCTTGTTGTGGCTACCGGGGTTACTGAACTCGACGCAGAGAGAGTTGGTGATAAGCAATGTCCATTGCTCTTCGTTGGTGTCATCGACTAGGGATAGAAAAGACCAGGTAGACTTGACAAGATACATAGAGGGTATTGGAACCGCAATTACCTGCTGGTTTCCCACGAAGGCCTCGAGCAAATTTCGGTGTGCTCTACCAGGTCTCACTCGCAGGATTTTGGAACTCGGTTCTCCGGAATCGGCAACAGCGCTATCTTGGCGGCTGGTCTGACGACGGCTTCGGATCTTGCAGTCCTCAGGGTGACGACACGTACCACTCCGTTTTTGCCCGGATGCACCTTGATGATCTTCCCGAGCGGCCATTGGATCGGTGGTAGGTTGTCGTCCTTAATCACCACGACTCGTCCAGGTTCAATGGTGACTGCTGACTTGCACTTCGTGGATCGTGACTGGAGCTGTTGCAGGTACTCTGGGTACCATCTGGACCAAATTCTCTGGAACCGCTTCTGTGTGAGCTCCCAGTGCGTTAGACGATTGTCCGGAACGTCGCACAGATTATGTTCAGGGACGGCTTGGAGGCTGGTTCCGATTAAGAAGTGTCCGGGGGTCAGAACTTCCATGTCTGATGGATCAGTTGGGATCGGAACTAGTGGTCTGGAGTTCAAACACATCTCAATTTGCATGAGAAGAGTGCACATGTCCTCGTAGCTGACGTTGACTGTGCCGATTTCACGCAACAAGTGGTTCTTGGCTGATTTGACGGCTGCCTCCCACAGACCGCCAAAGTGGGGAGCACGGGGCGGGATGAAACGCCAAACGATCTCATTTTCAGCGCACCAGTCGAGGATTTGCTTCCGATCAGCTTCATTGGTCTTCATCATCTCGTAGATTCTATGCAGCTTGTTAGCTGCACCCTTGAAAGCGGTGCCGTTGTCGCTGTGGATTTCGGTCATCCTTCCACGGCGAGCGACGAAACGGCGGAGAGCGGCGAGGAAAGCCGGCGTAGACAGATCGGATACAAGCTCGATGTGAACGGCACGAGTGGCGAAGCACACAAATATGGCGATATATGCCTTCGTTGGCGCCCGAGTGCGGATCGGCGACTTGATGTACACGGGGCCGCAGTAGTCGATCCCGCATACGGCGAATGGTCTTGTCGGAGTGACTCTTGATGTGGGCAAATCGGCGATGCTCTGCTGTACCAAGACGGGTCTGCTGCGGAAGCACGTATGGCACTGGTGATACGTACGGCGAACAAGGTTTCGACCGCCGATGATCCAGAACTTCTGGCGAATCGTGGCGAGCATCAGCTGGGGACCAGCGGGCAGCAGAGTCTTGTGGTAGTGATCGGCCAACAAATCGGATAGCAGGTGCTTTGATGAGAGGACGATCGGGTGTTTAGCATCTTCGGAAACGGCGGCGTTGCCGAGTCTTCCACCAACTCGGATCACACCTTCCTTGGTTATTCTTGGGTTGAGCCATTTCAATGGCGACGACGTTGGTACTCGTTCCCCGGCAAGGAGGTTGGATATCTCCTCGGAGAACGATTCTCGCTGAGCCAGGCGACACAAAGCAAGATCTGCTTCTCGTAGTTCGGCAGTGGTTATAGTTTCGAATGATTCGATGGTGGTCTTCGTCGAGGATGCCTGCAAGGCACGGAAGTATCGCAACCAGTATGCGATAGAACGGCGGAGTTTGCTGAAGCTGGAATATCGGTTGAACAGTTGATCGGAAAATCTTGCATCAACAGTAGCTATCATGGCTACTCGGGTTCTCGCTTCGGACATCCAAAGCGGATCAAGGACGGGCAGATTGCTTACGGGCCAGTCAGATGGACATGGATAACCACTCCGGACCACTCCACCAGAGCAAGTGGTCTTTGATGTCAACTGGATTAACGCCACGGGAGAGAGGATCAGCTGGGTTGGATACTCCGGAAACGTGTTTCCAGTGACAGGATTCAGTGGTTTCCTGGATCTTGGCTACCCGATTTCCGACGAACGTTTTCCATCTGGATGGCGATGACTCCAACCAATGCAGGACAGTGGACGAATCAGTCCAGAAGAAAACTTCAGCGGGCCTTTGTATGGAATGTACGACCTTCTCGTATAGATTCGACGACAACACTGCTGCGCACAACTCCAAACGTGCGATAGTGTGCGATTTGGCCAACGGAGTCACCTTGGACTTGGACGTCAACAGCTGGACTCTAACGGCTCCGGCAGACTCTGACCGTACGTAGCAGCACGATCCATACGCCTTCAACGATGCATCGGAGAAGAAGTGGAACTGGTATGATGTTGTGTTGGCCAACGATACACAGCAAGGAATCCGGAGTGTGGCGATTGTATCGAGCGTTCCATGGAATTCCTTCCACTCGGACTGGAGATGTGGAGGAAGAGGACGATCCCACTCATAAGAATCTCCTGTTTCGGTTTTCAGCGCCCATAAGCGCTGCATAAACAGCTTAGCGATGACTATTATTGGTCCCACCAGGCCAAGTGGGTCGAAAATCTGCGCAACGTAGGACATAACTTTCCGTTTAGTCAAAACGGGTGCTGGTAATGGCAACTGAACCTTGAAGCTCATCATGTCGGATCTCGGTTCCCAGATGATTCCGAGAGTGGAAACGGATTGGTCGTCTTGCAGGTCATGGTACGGCGCGAATGCTAGATCTTCTTCAGGAATATCGGCTAGAACTTCAGGCGAGTTTGAAGCCCACTTCTTCAGCGGAAAACCAGCCGCTGAAAGCATGGCGGACATTTCTTGGCGTAGGTGGATAGCGGATTCAACATCATCGGCACCAGACAGGAAATCATCCACATAGAAATCCTTCTGGGCTACCGCGGCTGCGGCTGGATACATCTCGGCTGCGTCTTGCGTGATCTGCAGAATGGTGCGAGTTGCCAGGAACGGAGAAGATGCAAAACCATACGTTACGGTTTGCAGTTCGTACGTAGCGATTGGTAGGTCTGGACTGGGACGCCAGAGGATGAGTTGGTATCGGAGGAACAGATGATGCAGCAGGATTTGCCGATACATTTTCTCCACATCGGCTACGAATGCGATTTGGTGGATGCGGAATCTGATGTGGATCGACAGTAGGTCTTCCTGAACGACGGGTCCAACCAGTTGCAGGTCGTTCACGGAGAATCCAGATGACGTCTTGCACGACGCGTCGAACACGACTCGAACTTTCGTGGTGGTGCTGGATTCTTTGAATACCGGATGGTGTGGAAGGTAGCAGTGTGGCTGGCTTTCGTCTACTGGATCTAGGAGTTTCACCATGTGATTCAGGCGTTCGTATTCTTCCATGAAGCGACAGTAGGCCTCTTTGGTGGTTGGATCTCGCTCAAGTCGTTTTTCGAGGTTCAGGAAACGGCGCTCGGCGATAGAACGTGATTCACCGATAGTGACGAGCGGATCGCGGGTGAGTGGCAAGGAAACGATATAACGACCCGACGAATCGCGAGTGGTGGTAGTGGCATACAGTTCTTCACAGAGATTTTCTTCTGCCGTAAACTTGGAACAGGTTTCAACGGCTTCTAACTCCCAGAACTTCTGGAGGGCTTGTTCCAGATTACGGTCCACAGTGGTGAGGTGACAAACACGGGGAACTTCAGGTGATTGGATGGATACCTTACCGGAAACAGTCCATCCGAAAGAGGTCTCGACGAATACAGGCTGCCCTTCGCCGAAAGAAATCTTACCGCCAGTGTGGAGTTCGTGGTACACTTCTCCACCGACAATCAGGTCAATGCCGGCTGGAATGTGGAAGCTTGGATCAGCTAGCGGGACATCAGGAAACTTCCACGAGGAAATATCAATCGGCATGGTTGGCAGGCAGACTGTGGGTTTCTTGAGGATGAGAAACTCGAGCGTAGTACTGTACGAAAGTAGCTTGGATCTAATTGTAGCAGTCAACTTGCGCTTGATCTGCTTCGACGTTTCACCGATTCCAGACACGGCGATGTCTACTTTCGTACGACGGAGGTTGAGTGTGTTCGCAAGCTTCTTCGTGATGAAGCTGCTCATCGATCCTGAATCTAGGAGTGCACGAGCGGAATGCTCCTTCCCATTCTGGTCCACAACTAGGAGGTTAACCGTTTCCAACAGGACAGTGGATTGGTACGACTGTACCGACAAGCTCACTTGGGGGTTCTGATTCACTGATCCGGGGTTTTCGACGGCAGTCGACGTGGATGGATTCGGTTGTTGGGATGGCTGACCAGATATAGCTACTGGAGTGGATTGTATCTTCGTGGTTGAAGTTTCGTGCAGCAGGGTATGGTGTTTCTGGTGACAGGTTCGGCAATCGTACTTGGATGTACAATTCCTACTTTGGTGTCCAGAGCGGAAGCAATTCCAGCATAGGCGCTTCTGGGATATCAGCTCTCGTCGCTGGCGAACGGACATCTTGGAAAATGCTGGACATTGGAATAGGAAGTGGTTCTCTGGACAGGCGATACAGTACGGAGCGGAGTTCTTGGATTCGGTCGTGGCGGAATTGGATACCATCTTAAATGGCTTCTTCTGGATTGGATTGGAACCGGCCACCTTGGCTTGGCCGGGTTGATTGGAACGATGCTGCAGATCGGTGACGACGGACTTCAACATTCGAACCCTTTGGTACAGGAAATCAACTAACTGGTCGTAGGTGACATCATCACTGCTACTGGTCTTCTCCTCCCAGGCTCGGAGGGTCGTAGGATCCAGTTTGTAGCATAGCAGGTTGATCAACGGGGTGTCCCAGTGGACTACAGGTTCGTTCAGCTTCGCTAAGGCCTTGACATGCCGTTGGTAGTCATCAATCAGGTCGTGCAGCTCTTGGGGTGACTCTTTCTTCAGCGGCGAGAGGTCATACAGGGCTCGGAACAGTTGCCGCTTCAGATACCGCTTATTATCGTAGCGTTTCAGTAGAGCGTCCCAAGTTAACGCATAATTATCCGCAACTATGTCGATCGACTCGAATGGCTTGTGAGCTTCTCCTTCCAGGGACTGCAGAAGGTACTGCAGCTTCGCGACAGTCGGAATGTCCGCGTTGGAATGGACCATGGAGGTGAACGTATCCCGGAAGGAAAGCCATCTGGAAAAGTCTCCATCGAATTTAGGGAGATCGACCTTGGGCAACCGTAGGTGGAAACTGGATGAAACTGGGTGATGATTGGCCGTCACTGAAGTATTCAACACTGTCTGGTTGGGATCTGTCGAACGCTTCATCAGCAGAAATCCTTTAGCCGTGCAAAATCTCGCTTCGAACGCTGCTCGCTCTTGCAGATGCTCCTCAAACTTCTCAGCGTCATCGTACTTCTCAATCTCCGCTTGCAGCTCCTGGAACTCACTGTAGACACGGTCCAACGCCTCAAGACGGATCGGAATCTGGTACACATCGTTCTCGTTGTCATACTTCTTGATGAACGCCTCAACGGAATCACGAACGACGAGTAGTGCCTTCCGCTTCATCAGGCATTCGGCCAACTTCTTCTCTGGTCTGGACATCCTGATTCACTGCAAAATCCCCACTTCACTACCACCACAGTTCGGAAAACGCGGAAACGAAATCGGAAAATCGGTACGTAAATCGGTTAACGGACTCCTTCCCGGCGCGTCGTACCGTTTTCTACACGACGCGAGATCGGAAAAATGACACAAATCGTACGTGTTAATCCTTCCCGTCGCGGTGTGCCACTTTCTACACGGACGAAATACCCGAGGATGGTACGCAAATCGAACGTAAAAACTCCTTCCCGACACGGGCGTACCACCCACGCGACTCAACTTGCCACCCACCACCACCAAATACACACATGCAAAATGAAAAATCAAATCAAATTGCGGTTCTAGGATTTCCAATCCATTTAATTTTCCGTTAAATCTCTTCAGTCGAGCACACCGTTGCTTCGCCAAAGCAAACGGGTCAAAAAAAACTGCCTACTGTGTGGAGGCCTTTATTCGATTTGCACTATTCAAATGGCATCAAATAGCTTGGCTTTGGTCAGCCGTACAAAGCTATTGACCTCAACTACAGGTCGAACAATTGCCAGCGCATGGAAGAAACGAAATGGTGTACTCACCGCACCTGCCCTTCTGGTCGGGGGAACCTTCGATCCGGCTCGAAGGACCAAATGATGGGGCTTACCCGTTCCTTTTCGAAGGATTTTCCACCGTCGTAAAATATCGACGGCCCAGAAGATTCTGTTGCGATGATTCACTGATTCTTCCACCTTGCTCGGACACTTTGTCACACAAATTGCTCCTGATGCACTTTTGCACTATGCACACAACGCGCGATTCGGAGATTGCTTTATGCTGCTTGACCACTTAAACTAATAGTCGTCACAGGAACACTTTCGGATCACTCAAGGAAAATGTTAATCAATTGCACTACTGGACTGGGTTTACTTTTCTCTTTATTCTACGACCGGACTACAGCAAAAAACGGGATGTATCGCTTCCGACGGTATATTTTGTACTATCCTATATTTACAATTTGTTTTATCTCCTATCTATGTACAAATGGCAAAATGACCACTACAAGTGGACGCTATTGTGTGGTGCGCATGCGCGCAGCATCCTACTCATTTCTCTCTTCATCTCTGGCTTAGGATTAGGGTTACTGATACATGATTTTAGAGCACTTTCAATTTATAGGATTAAGTTTTAACTATAAGTTTAGCTGTAGGATTTAGTCAGTTCATTTAGGTTAAGTAGATTTCAGTTCATTTAGGATTAATTTAGTTTAAGTTTAGTTCAACATCCA